CACTATAGCGTTCACTAATCGTGGGGTGATCTCTACAACACCAACTGCACTTATCAAGCTCCTTTGGTTACTTAAAGGCACTTGACTGTTGTAGATTCTCTCTAGCTGTGCGCGCGCATGCTTTTGCTTGTCCTGTAAGCGGTTTTTCGCATTTGGCTGGTGTGAAGCACATAACTTATGTGCCTACCTCGATGACCAAACCGTCGCGTGTTGGACTACCCGTGTATTGTCACTTAGTAAAGTGATGTCTTCGACATAATGTTTCAAAACTGCGTCCCCTGGGAGGGGTTCACCCTTGGCTCGAACAAAGCATTTTGTGGAACGTCCTCCGTGGCAAAGTTGAGAAGAACTCGTGATACAAAATAGCCTCACCGCACTCCACTAGTGACATTAACGGGTAACGAAACCCAGGCATAAACCTTAGTCCGGCCTGAGGTGTTACGATACAACTCTTTGAGAATCGATTAATACAGTGGAACATCGGCGGTTATTCACGATGAAAATGAATACAAGCAAAGGAGGGGAAGGGGGGTGAGTTGAATTGGATCAGAGTTAGAGGGTCAGGAAGGTGTCCACTGCCATTGTACTGTAGTGTATAACAAACTTTTGTAAACAGAAACCTACATCCTAGTTGGTAACACTCGTTCACAGCTAGATGCAGAGTACCCTTGTCCAGCGGTCAACGGACCACATTCTGGAACGCTAATTCTGACCCTCTGCATCTGCTTATTCGATTAATCTTTGCTCACGTTCACGGTAAGCAGCGAATTCGGGACTATTCTCTTATCCGCATTCTGCGGACGCGCTCGGTAACCAACAGTTCTAGTTTTGCGAGTTCCATTTGCTGTTTACTTTCGTCATTTGAATAACAAAATGCGTTTGTATCAGATGTAATATCGTTTTGCGTTTGGCTTATAACCTGTGACATGCGAGATGTGCACTAAAAGTGCTAGGGCAGCTGTTGTTCCAGTTGGTAAAACCATTGATCTTGCGGTGTCGGTTACCGTCCTTCTGTAAACCATTTTGCTGTTTAATGTGAGTGAGATTAAACGGCAATAGGTGTTGCAGAAATTACTATGTATACTGTAAGATTGAGCCAGATGTATGTAGAAAGTGGTTGGATGCTGTGGCGCTGCGTAGTGTTTGTATCAATTTAGTTTGCATTACTCAATGTTCCACACCTTGTGGGCAAGTCTCCCATATTCACGACTTTCACTCTGAGTGGATGAGCGGGACTCACTAAATCCTACAGAAGAGGAAACTGCTCATGGTTGATCATATCAGTCGTAGTCCCGAAGTCTGTTTTTGATCCTCTTCTTTGATGAAAACATCCTCCCTGGCGAGGGATTGAGTAGAACTTCAAAAGTGTGGTTATGGCATAAACAGTTTAATTAAGCCACACTTTTGCACTCTTCTTACATTCGACAAACCTTTTAATGGTTTGTACGATACAGCCGTTGTTTTCGGCGGTGGTCCTATCTTCGAACTTCACAAATCGGATTTTCGGGATTGTACGGTGGACCGATCCGCGCTACGGTACAGAAGCAGCCTCTCTCCGTTCTATATAGGCGTGCGAGCATCTGAGTGCCGGGCTGGGTCATGTGGTTGAGATGATCAACATGTCTTCTCAAATGCAATGTTTTCAGACGTCATCAACGCCACCTACCTTCCTCCTAGTCTTTTTTTCACTCTGCAGTCCTTTTAGCGACTTAGTCCTCCCTGAGAATCATGTGTACCGTTATGTATTAAGTTAAATGAAGTAAACCAAAAATACAATATCACAGGTGGAAGGTTTATTCAAGAGACAGCCAAATCTGTGCCAAATTATGTTTCCCCTTACACTCTAGGTCTAGGTTAAATAAATTCAAATTAACCACGGCGTTACTTTTAAACCGATGTAGTTTAATTTCGATTGCTTTGATTCCATTCTTATCTTGATTCGTTTCTCGAGAACAAACGCAACTAGCTCGTAACTGAGGAACAGATGCTAGTTGAAACTCGCGATGCCTGTTCTGATTTCTTGGCCTACCGTGAAGCTGCATGCGATGCATGGGATTTCATGTTACAGTGGTTTGTCGTTTTGCCCACTGTGCTCCACCTCGGTAGATGACAGTGTTCCGTTTGGTGGTAAGCGGTGACCTTTTGAACTTGCAACCTACTTAGCCCACACCATTTAGTAGCTCCTTTCCGTGTGGGATATACATCTGTCCTACTGTTTTCAATGACCTCAACTCGCATGCGTGCTAGTTGTTAGAATTAATGTCAGAATCAATGACGCAAAAGTAGCGGTGAGGGCAAAGAGGAACGGGGAACATCTGATCCTTGAAGCGCTGCTTTCGACCAACTCATTTAATGAACACGTGGAAATCGATAAAAATTACGCAACGATTATACAGCCAATGAGGAACGTGGGATTGATGGACTAACAGGCGCGACGCAAACCACGGTGCGATGCACAAAGCAGACCCAACTGATTCACACGTATTATCGTTTGACGAGTCCTAGTTTGGATCGAAACGTCATAATAAATACAATCACTCAGTGCTCGCCTTCTCATTTTCAATATATAGATATGTCAGTATTATATTATATTATAAGCATATTATATTACATATTATATATGTATATTATATATATATTATTATATATTATATTATAAGTAGTATGTGAATGACTGGACAATTTCCCGGGAAGCACGCAACCGGTTTTGCGGTTCTTGCCGCTCGTCCGGCATGCGTATCCGGTAATCTTTTGTCAGTTCATTCATATACATACACGGGTATTCACCAAACTCGTGCAACATTCTGATTTGCATCACATTTGTTCCTCTCAATGCTTAATTTTTCCAGCGTTATTCACGGGATTGAATATGGTATCGCCCCACATGAGACACATGTCTGATGTAATACACACTTGCATCTTTGCTGCTATTAATTTAATGCCATTCAAGTGTACGATTTCTCCATTTTAACGATAGTTGCTGTTGCATAGGTTGTAAAATAAATTCAGTGGAAAACGTAACTGGAATTTATTTATTAAAATGACTCATAGACTTGGTACATCTAATCTATGTTCCAGTTGTCCTTTCTCATTTTTGAGTGCTAACGACAGTCGCTTTAGCACGGAGTCCACCAAGTTGACTGCCAAACAGATTTGGCCGGTTTCCTCTAATACAAAGCATACCCTAAACACTGATGACCTATGTCGAGGCAACCAACTTACCCCTGTTTCTGATACGGGGAAACGTTTTCGATTANATTAAAATCCCAGCTTCTGCGTGGTAATTGAATGAATTTGGCATTGAACTTGACCCCTCTAGAGACTGCATAAATTTGAAAAAAATATTTAATTAGAACTAACCATTTTCTACAACCGTCCTCAAGCGAGAAGATGTAACAACCTTCATATGTGAAAAAATATGATTTCTGTGAATGCATTTAAAGATTAGCGGTTACCGAAAGCAAGAAATTTTGCGATATCCAGATTGGTGTGTGGATAAGGCCAATAACAATAACAAAGCACTCAGCATCTTGCTTTGATATAATTGGTTTTCTCCTTTCTCGTTTATGTCCTGATGGAGAAGTTGCGTGTAATATACAGCAAATTGGACTTGTGTTCACATCGAGGCACTTCCACAAGACACCATCCGAGTCATCGGATTTATGTGCCTATCGATTTAGTTGTCTCTAGGCCTCAGTTATATGCCAAAACCTTTTGAATGTTTCATCGGGTTTGGATCATCTGGATCATCTGGAGAAAAATGGCCTACTATCCCCAGTCCAGCACGGGTTTCGACAAAATCGTTCATGTGCAACCAATCTGCTTTTGGCTCGGGACGATTGGACTTATGCTGTAGATCAAAGCAAAGGAGTTGATGTCATTTACCTGGACTTCTCCAAAGCCTTTGACAGGGTAAATCATCAAATACTGATACGAAAGCTGTACAACTATGGAATTCGGGGACTCGTACTTGGCTGGATCGAG